ATGAAGTGACGAACGTCCAGTTATTGTTAATGTAATTTTCTCCAACCCTAAGCATCTTATATTTTACATCTTTCATACGAGGGTCAGAACATTCTGGAAGGAAAACACCCTATAAAAGCACAAGCTGTTATCAGGATTGTTGTTTCTACATTTAGTTTAACTCCAATATTAATAATGAACTGTGTTGATGTTTAAAAGCACATTGTAGATTGTACATGTGGTTTATTGTGGAATATACATGTGGTATATATTGGGCTATACATGCGGTCAGTTGTGGGCTATAAATATGCTCAGTTGTGAACTACAGATGTGACTTATTGTGGACTATATATGTCGTTTATTGTGAGCTATACATGTGGTATATTGTGGACTATACATGAGGTATATTGTGGACTATACATGCGGTCAGTTGTGGGCTATACATATGTTCAGTTGTGAAATACAGATGTGACTTAATGTGGGCTATACATGTGAGTTATTGTGGACTATATATGTGGTTTATTGTAGAGAGCTTAGAAGTTATTCAAGTGCCAGGACACCAACAGCCCAAATAGATTTTCTAAAGTTCTCATAAAGGAAAATAACAACAAGTCGGATAATTATTTCTTCATTTATGTAAATTATATAAATTGGCTTATTTGTGTTTTGAATCTATTTGTCACTGATTTCCTGAAATCCAATTCCATTTTTTCTCATTCGTGCCTCTTAAAGGCTCAGCGGTAAGTCAGAAGGCTTATAAAACTAAAAACAAGGTTTCGATACCTGTGGTGGGCACAGCACAGTCAGCCCGTTGTATATATTTCTAATGAACAACAAACAAACAAACAATTCTTGTTTTTACCTTATTGTCACTTCACACAACGTTGAAGTATGTAACAGCGTCTGTTGACTTTTGGTAAAGAATGACGTTCGATATACCACTTAGTTGGGAAAAACATAAAACATGAACAGTAGGAATGACGTTCGGTATACCACTTAGTTCAGTATACTATGTAAAACATGAAACATGAACAGTAAGAATGACGTTCAGTATACCACTTAGATGGGAAAAACATAAAACATGAACAGTAGGATGACGTTCGATATACCACATTGTTGCGTAAAATATAAAACATGAACAGTAGGAATGACGTTCAGTATACCACATTGTTGTGAAAACATGAAACATGAACAGTAAGAATGACGTTCGATATACCACAATGTTGTGTAAAACATAAAACATGAACAGTAGGAATGACGTTCAGTATACCACATTGTTGTGAAAACATGAACAGTAAGAATGACGTTCGATATACCACTTGATTGTGTAAAACATGAACAGTAGGAATGACGTTCAGTATACCACAATGTTGTGTAAAACATAAAACATGAACAGTAGGAATGACGTTCAGTATACCACATTGTTGTGTAAAACATAAAACATGAACAGTAAGAATGACGTTCGATATACCACATTGTTGTGTAAAACATAAAACATGAACAGTAGGAATAACGTTCAGTATACCACATTGTTGTGAAAACATGAACAGTAAGAATGACGTTCAGTATACCACATTGTTGTGTAAAACATAAAACAAGAACCTAAGTCTTTTACTACAACAAGTTGTATTAAGATTAGTTATACAATTAAGGGGTTATCTTATCTGTTTTATTTTCTTCCTACTTGTGACAAAGTTATTCTTCTGGTTTCAGATAGTTCTTTAAAGTTATTGATCATTTACACTGAAACTGCTGCTTCTGTTATAAAAAAAATAAACATACGAAAAGTAATTAAATTGATAATTTATTTTCAGGTCTTATTTTGCTACTTTATATTAAGAGTTAAATAGAAAACTTTTTTGGCACAGTGAAATATAAATTTTTTTTATTATGTTTATGTTAACTATGTTATCGAAACTAGTCGGTTGAAACAACTTCATCTTTTATTTTGCCAAAAGACTGTTTTGTTTTACTCCTAATTTACATGAAATAATTATACAGAAAGAGAAGGAAACAAGCATGCTACCTCAGACTATATCCACTCCCCTCTTTCACTCTGATTCTTGAGTGAATATTAATAGGAAACATAAAGAAAAACTGGAAAATTCTGGTTTATTCTCCGTATAAGCAACTGACCAAACAACAGACAAACAGATAAAACTTTTACTTACACAGCATCAAATCAACTACTTATAACAACGTTACACTTTACAAGATTTATTCACTAAAAACACGGGCGAATCCTCGGTTTACCAACACGTCTTTTGGAACACTTGAAAGGATATGTAAACACTCACAACCTTTGAGACGCACCCGTTTCTTTAAACAAACTTTGGTTGTTAGCCTAATGATACATATATTAAACACGGTCGACATTGTGGAAGCAATAAATCTAAATGTTTCAGAGCTCGACAAACTTAAGTTTCACTAGAAAGTATGAACAACAAAATTAATAATTTAGTTCGACGAGTGTTAGAATCTAAAGTACAATATAAGAAACTATATTAAATTAACGTTTCTGCGGTATTTCAGTAAAGTGGGTTTCGTCGAGTGAGCTTATAAACGCATCAGCGAGTGTCAAATCTTGTGTGAAATTGGAGAGTATGACCAAGGTTGTGTACTACCTCAACTTTCCGTGTTACAAGTACGACAATAGATGTCTCTTCTTTCCACATCCTTCCCATTACGTTGTTTGTTGTTAGAGCAAAGTCGCAATGAGCTGTCTGCTGTTTCAACCCCCGGATTTTAGCGTTGTAATTGTGTGGACTTACCGCTGACCCACCAGGAAATGTTCTCATCCACAAATTATGTAACTGTAAAATATGGTACAATAAATTCCGTGATGATGTGCTAGTTTTTCCTTGCTTGAAACGTTTCTATGTACAGACATATAAACTTCCTGAGATTGTGAAATGTCAACGTTTCACTCGGAAGAAACCTATCCTGAGATTCAGCTTCTGTCAGCTCTTCATAATCATTCGTAACTAACTAGAACACATTAAATAAAATAAACCTTTCTAAATTTACATGAATCTATTTTAGGTTTATAGACGATATATTTACTCAAACACACAAAGACTCCCGATTTTTACAACATCAATACTTAAGTTAATATGATAATACCTGGTATTTTTTATCTGTTTTAGTTTGAACACCTTTGTCAAACTTGTCAACATGCTATAAATAAATTACACGACATTATTTTTCGTTTCTTACAATGCTACACGTACGTGATTTGTCATTACGTCTCATTAAAACCACAAATATATGATTCATTACTGCGTTTCGTTAGCCACAAAACCACAAATATACGATTTATCACTGCGTTTCGTTAGCCACAAAACCACAAATATATGATTTATCACTGCGTTTCGTTAGCCACAAAATCAAAAATCTATGATATGTCATGACTTTTTTTGCAGTGATTTTGGTTTAAAATGTGATTCAGGTATCAGAGCTTAACATTGATGTTTCACTGGTTTCCTTTCTTGTGATGTTCTTATATTTAAGCTATAATTCAATACCTAGAGCTCAATTCGAAACGTCTCTTTGTCTTTAGACATTATTTAACAACTAGAAGTTAATGCGAAAGGTGTCAGAGAAGATTTCTGTGAAGTTATGTTTAGTTTCAAATCTATGTAACTGTTGGAGTTATGATATAGTAGAATATTCATTGTCTAACTCATTTTTAAAACTGTTTATTTAGAATTTTTTTCTACTCATTCTTTCTATTCTTTTATTTTTTTTCAAATTTATTTACTTAATTTTTTACTTCTCCACATTACTAGTTCATGTTTGGAGTAAAAAAAATAAAAAATAAATAGCAGAAAATAATAAATAAACAGAACTGGATTTGTTTTCCAGGTTTTTTTAATCTTGTCGTACCACAAAAATTTATTTATTATTTTCTGCTATTTATTCTTTATATTTGTTTGTTTTTTACTCCAAACATGAACTAGAGAATTGGATTTTTGTTCCAGGTTTTTCTAATCTTGTCGTACCACGAACTAGCAAGTGACAATGGCCCACATCCAGCCAATAACACATAGTTTATGTTTCATCATTCTGTTCTGTCTCGTATAGCAGGTCTATCTTATTTAGCTTCTGGCATATTTAATAACCCGAGTTTAGTATAAGACCCAAAACTTGAGCGCTTTCGAATAGTTGACTATTCTTTTTCTTTGTTCTCCTGAAGAAGAATAGTCAACTATTCGAAAGC